TTCCAGAGTGAGGAGGCAGCTCTGTGGAGATTACACAAGGCCTTGGTCAATTTCTCCATTTGATGAGAGCCACAGCCTAAGCAATGCTGAATAGAGGCCAGTTTATGGGGTGGCTACTGGGGCTACAGTGTGGGAGGATTAGGCATGGGCGATACAACCTGAAGCTGGAACAGCTCTCCCGAATGGAAAAGAAAGGATTTAACTCCAATAAGCTTAGGCAAGCTGCCCTTCACCTCAACCCCACCATTTTGTTTTGTTTTTGCAATTAGCTCTGAGAAATCAAGGAGAAATTCGTCTAGAAGGCAGTATAATGGATACAAAGAGATTAGGAGGCTTGAGGCTTGGGTTCTAGGCCATGCTTTTTCACTGTCACTGTATGACTTTGAGGAAGTTACTCTATCACTCTAGTCCTTAGTTTACTCATCTACAAAATAAGGGGTTAGACTTGACCATCTCTAAGCTACCTTGTGACTCTAAATCTATGATTCTACGATCTCTTGATTTTCCTTCATTCCTTCATTTGTGCATGAAGGGGTCCAAGGAGATAATCTGTGAGAGATTCTGATTCTCTGAATGTCTAAGTTGGTCATCTCCAAAGTGGAGTCTGTGGTCCCTGAAGGAAGGGAGAATCTGGCCCGATTCTCAACCTCTTCTTATCTTCACTAAACTGAAACTACTCTGTCTATAGTTACCCATGATCTCTTAACAAATCAAAGAGTCTTTTCTCAATATTCATCCTTCTTGGCCTCTCCAGCCTTTAATGCTTTTGACTGACCTCTCTTCTTGGATATTTACTCTTTCTTCTTGGAGTTTTGGTAACATTCCTTTCTCTCGGTTCTCCTCTTCCCTGTCTGACTGGACCATCTCAAATTTCTTTCAATGGCTCATCACTCATGTCTTTCCCCTTCCTTGCCTACAGATGGTCCCCCAGGCTCTATCCAGAGTCCCCTTCTTTTCTCTCAATATTCTGTCTTAATTGATGACCTCGTCAGCTCCCAGAGTTTGCATTATCATATCTCTAAAGATGACTCAATTCTATTTCTCCGTCATATGTATATTAATCTATGTATATCTGTCTATATATGTAGCTATATGTAATTATGCACATGCATACATACATATATGCATATTTAGTAAGTATGCTCTGGGTTTATTATCCCAGAGACAAGCAGCCACATCTCCACCTCAAGGTGCTAGAGGTCGTTTGCCCTTCATTTTGAAAAAAGACCAATGACGTCATGGGATAATGTCTTGATTCATGAGTGAATTGCATTTAAGGACCAGGATTTAAGGGAGAGTTGCACAAAGTTGTCAGCCTCACTCTCTCTTCTAGAGATGTTGAAGTCCAGCGGCCAAAGTCATGGCAACTGGTAATGGCCAGCAGTGCAATGGATGATCTTGGCCTCTTTGATGTGTCTAAGCACTTCACAGTGCCTGCTTTAGCCACCTTCATGGCCTTTGGAAGAAACTGTTCTCATCCACCCATTCCACCAGAGGAAGTCTTCATACACTTGGGGTAGACTCCCACTAGCTCACCAACAGCTTGGAGGCCTGTTAGTTACCCTCAAGCTGTTTTAGCCTTTCTGCTGAGATGGTTTACCAGGATATGGTTGCTATGCATGCTGCGCTTCTTGGAGGCACAGGTGAGAGTTGGGTGAAGGTACGCCCCAAAGGTGAATGAGCAGCCCTGAAAAAAGGCTCAGCAAGCTGCCCCACACCAGAGGTGCTGTCCTCCCAGAATACCCCATGCTCCAGGATTCTAGAGGTGCCCTTTGGGCATTAGAATGCCTCTCATTTTAACACCATCAGCTTAAATCTCCTCCATAATCCTCACTGTTAGTCACCAGGATATAATAATAATTTATTTAGGCTTCAGAGTTTGCAAAATGTTTTCCATATATTATCTCATTTTGTCCTCAAAGCAACTCTATGAAGTCAGTGCTATTATTATCCCCATTTTACAGATGAGGAAGCTGAAGCAAAGAAAGGCTTAGCAACTTATCCAAAATTACATAGCTAATAAGTATCTGAGGCAGCATTTGAACTCAGGTCTTCCTGATTTTAAGAACAGTAGCTGTCAGGTGCCTCTAGCCCCACTACCACTGTATAACTTCATATCAATTAGCTTTTACACAGGTATATTTACCTCAAAACTACAGAAAGAACCAAAGCACAACTTTTCCTCCTAACATTTCAGGAGTACACTCTCCTCCAGACTTCCTGGGTCTCTGAGAAGAGTGGGCTCAATGTTGGCCCAGTTTCTCCATTGCATTATTCTCACTAAGTTCAGGAACAATTTTGGTAGAAGGAAGCGGGGTGGGTAGGGCAGAAAATGGCCAGAGCAAAGAAGAGGAGCATGGTTCCAGGGAGTTTTCATCTCAGCCTCTACAGAAATCACTCTTGGAGGCATCAATGCTGAGCTAACTATAAAATCCACCATGGCTCCTGGACACTGGGATTCTTGGCTGGCTTGCTGTTCTGACTTCTCAAAATTTACAAAGTCGTAGCCCTCAACTCTGCCTAAGATGAAAGAACCCACTCTAAGGCAGGTAAAGAACTAAGGAAGGCCCACAAAATCCCCATGTTGGCCTCAAAGGCCCCTCCTTTTATAGCATTGTCTTTCCCCATATACAATGAGTGAGTCAAACATCTCAATCCCAACCCCTTCCCCCTAATACTCAGTGAACCCTGGAAGACCCTGGCATCCCAGTTCTTTAACCCCACCACCTCTGTGACCTATATTTTGTCTCTCATAAGAAGGGTCACATCTTTGTTCTGATCATCAACCCTAAATGATCTTGAGCTCTGAAATTCCTCTCTCTGATCATAACTTCCTACGCATGATTCTTAGCCTCTACCTCACTCCTTATGAGCCAATTTGTTGTCTTCACCATTACCTCTAGCTTCTCCACCCTTTCCTGTTCTTCTAGTCCATTATCCCTGCCCTGATTCACTTTCTTTCCTTCCCAGGCATAATTCTGTCATTAACCAGTTCAGCTATATAAAACCTTTGAACCCCTTCCCTCAAGCCTTGACCCTGGGTCACTCACCTCCACTACCTCCTTCTCCCATCAGTGTATGAATGCGTGCATGCATGATTGCATGAGTGAAAAAGCATTTATTACTGCCTGCTCACTAGATGCCAACATTTGGGACAATATAGGGCAGTTAGGTGGTGCAGCAGAGAGAGTGCTAGACCTGAGATACGGAAGACCTGAGTTCAAATCCAGCCTCAGACACTTACGCTCTGTGACCCTGGGCAAGTCACTTACCCTATTTGTCTAGTTTTCTCACCTATAAAATGAGCAGGAGAAGGAAATGGCAAACCACGCTAGTATCTTTGCCGAGAAAACCCCAAATGGGGTCATGAAGAGTTGGACTGGGGAAGCTAGATGGTGGAGTAAATAGAGTACCAGCCCTAGAGTCAGGAAGACTTGAGTTCAAATTTGGCCTCAGACACTTGACACTTACTAGCTGTGTGACTCTGCACAAGTCATTTAACCCCATTGTCTAGCCCCCCCCAAAAAAAAAAGTTAGACTGACTGAAATAACTAAACAGCAACAATGTGCCAATACCTGGGTTATGGACTAGTCATGCAAATACAAAGGTAGCCCTGCCCTCAGGGAGCTTATATTCTAATAGGGGGTGACCACACATAAAAGGGAGGGGTAACCAGGGAGCAGTTATTTGGTTTGTAAAGGTATGGAGACGGTGTGTGAGGCCATGGAAAAGTTGACTGACACACCCACCCTTTCTTGGAGTGAGAGTAGTCTTTATTTAATTGTGGTTCCAGAACTAGAGTGGGGAAGGGTTGGACCCTGGGAGTCAGCAAGACTACAGACAAGGAGGGGAGGGGAGAAAAGGAGCATAACCGGAGTCAACCTAGTTAGAGGAGAGGCCTGAGGGACACTGTCACTTAAAGGAGGGACCAGAGTGAGTGTTCAGTGCGGAAAGGACTTAGTCTCCACAGCAGGCTCACAGAGATTAGGGAGAAGATGGCCTATGTAGTTTATTCTATTGAATGCCATGGCAGAAAGTCACCCAACAGCCACCACAATGTTGGCTGAGTCAATTATGAATATGTATTATCTAATCTCAGCAGGGCCCTCAATGGCTTTATTCTTTCCTGACATTTTCTCTCTCTCTCTCTCTCTCTCTCTCTCTCTCTCTCTCTCTCTCTCTCTCTCTCTCTCTCTCTCTCTCTCTCTCTCTCTCTCTCTCTCTGTCTCTCTCTGTCTCCCTCTCTCTCTCTCTCTCCCTCTCTCTCCCCCCTCTCTCTCTCTCTCCCCACTTCTCTCTCTCTCTCTCTCCCCCTTCTCTCTCTCTCTCTCCCTCTCTCCTCTCTCTCTCTCTCTCTCTCTCTCTCTCTCTCTCTCTCTCTCTCTCTCTCTTTTTCTCTCTCTCTTTCTCTCTCTCTGTCTCCCTCTCTCTCTCTCTCCCTCTCTCTCCCCCCTCTCTCTCTCTCTCTCCCCACTTCTCTCTCTCCTCTCTCTCTCTCTCTCCCCCCTCTCCATTACTCCCTCCTCAGGCCTCTCAGGTGTTACTCAGGTGTTGAATTTAAGTATTACTGAGAATTGCAGAATTTGAATTGTAGAATTTGAGTATTGAAAAGTACTTCAAAGACTGCCTAGCCTAAAAAGAAAGTGAGCCCCCCTTTGCATCTTACCTAACAAATAGTCATCTAGTCAGTACTTGGAGACCTCCAATGAGGGAGAACCCACAAGGTCTCATTCCAATTTTATGAATCGCTCAAAGTCCCATCATGGGTAGGCAGCAGAGCCCACATTTGTACCTGGTTATGAGGGTTCTGAAGACAGGGCTCTTTCTATCATAGGAAGGTTACCTCTTGAAACAAACCAATCAGTAAGTTCTAACCTAAAAGAAATTTGTATCCATATGTCTGATTCAAAATTGCAAAATCCTCAGAGGCTTATTATATTTACAAAGAAAATATAATATCTAATTCATATTTAGAATATATACACAGAGTCATGTGGAAATCATATAATTATGGTGTGTTCCTTTGGGATGAGCCAGATTTTGATTGGATGGCCCAGAAGGATTATGATCTCCTTTCAAGGGAAACAACACAATAATTGTGCTGTTGGGGGAGGGGGTGGTTGGAGCTTAGGGAATTATGTCACAATGGGGACACCATGGCAATTCACTGCACAGGGCCAATGCATTTAACAGCAACATTATCTCCCCAATTTTCCCACTTCTCTGCATCTGAAACAGGCTTCCACAGGGCAAATACAAGGGACCACAGGGAAGGTAGTTATAGATTGGCTCATCTGGGGAGGTGAAGAGCGAGGAGAAGGAAGAGCAGGGAGTTGTTTCTTGAGATTTGGGCTCTGGAAACTCCCATTTAAGAGAAAGAATTTACTCTCCTTTTTTTCATTAGAAAGGTGGCCTTTATCTAACCTCAGAAATGCCAATATTAACATGCTCTGAAGCATTTCCTAACTCTAGGGTTATGATAATAAGGATAGGGGATGTAGTTGAAGACTGCCTTTGCCCCCTTCCTTTCTCCTTAGCCCATCCTCTGACCCTGGGCCAACCAGATCCCATCTTGGCTGCCTGACTGCTCATAGGGTTTGGATGAAATTGGAGTCATCAAGATGATGAACCCCCAGACCTTCCGTCTGCCTTGTCTCTATGTTTGACAGACCCTGGGCATATACCCTGCTTACATAATCTAAGGACCCCTGGGCCTTGAACTACTGATAATGTCAAGTCCCTTCCAACTCTACATCAATAGTCCATTGATTTGATCATATGTCTTTCTTATGGTGACCCCATTTGTTGATTTGACAAATATTTCCTGTAATTTACTACCTGTGTGACCTTGAGTTAAGTCACTTAACTTTTCTGGTCTTCAATTTCCTCTTCTCTGAAATGATGGAATTGGAGCAGAATGGCTTTTGAAGCTCTATTGAGCTCTAAACATGTTTCACAGCCTGATCCAGTGAGCGCCTACATTCTCAGTCTCCCTTCCCTTGGCTATGAGGCCCTTGTATGGACTTGGGAGGAGTATCAGATTCTTCTGGACCATGGCCTGGAAGTCATTAACCCTCATCTCCAGAACTTCTACTTTCCCTCCCTCTCCTGATCTAGCCTATTAGCTGTGTTTCCCTTGGTCCCAGCCGCATTTTGCTTCCCTTTTTATTTGCTGGCCATCTTCTCACAAACCACGTTGCCACCAAGAGCAGGCCCTTGCCTCTTCCTTATGGGATTTAGAATTAAAAAGAAACCTTAGAGGTCATGTAGTGCCGGGGTCCATGAATTCCTTGGGGCTCTGTGAAGAGAATTCACAAAATGGTGAACTTGGTTGGGAAAGAATATAGCTTTTTTTTTTCATTCATCCTTAACTGAAATTTATCATTTCCTTCCATTCTTAAAGTAGGCCATAAACCACAGTAGTGTCAGGCATCACCAGGCTGCCAAAAGGATCCATGACACACACAAAATTAACAATCCCTGATCATGTCCAATCCCCTCATTTTGTACGTGAAAAAAAGAAAACTGGGAACCCTGAGAACAACATGATTTATTCCCGTTCACCCAGGAGCAGAGCTCAGATTAGCACTCGGGTCTTTTGCCTCCAAGTTCGGTGTTCTTTCCACTGCCCCAGGCTGCCTGTTCCAAGAGGCCCAGACCCAGCCCATTAGCAACCAGAGGCCATAACAAACCAATCAACAGGCCTGTCTTTATGTATTTTTATGTGGTTCCCACACAGATGAGGGGTCTCATCACTGAGAGAAGCTACAGCTTATAAACCACTTCCCATTTGCCCCTCCTTGGGAATGCCATCCTAACTACTTGGCTCAGTTATTAAATAGGGAAAATAGGTCATGTGGAGATCCTGGATACCTGCCTTTGTGACGATGCTGCCCTAGCAGGAGACCAGCCTCCTCATGCCGATGCTGTGGATCCTGTTCCTATAAACATCTGCCCTATAAGCAGAAGCTACTCAGAGGACACGCAGAGAGGTTGTAGCCTGTTGTGTGCCAGCAGAAATCAGTAGTGGTTGCCAGCTGGGTGAAATAATGCTGATCTTTGATGAACCAAGGTTAGTCTATGCAGTCTGAGCCTATGTCGAAGTTGAGTTTCCCATCCAGTCGTTGATTATTTAATCAATTATTTAACCCTCTATTTTGGTGGGGGCCGTGGAATTTCCCCAAACTCAAAGAAAATTGGAGATCATCTAACCCAACTTCCTTGTTTGATATAAGAGGAAACTGAGGCCCAGAGAGAGAGAAAGTCACAGGATCATAGAATCATAGAGCTAGAGATGGAAGACGCCACAGGGACCACGCAGGTCAAACTCGTTATTTTATTCAGAAGGAAATTGGGGCCCAAAGAATCTGAGTGACTTGGCCAAGGACACATTGATAGAAAGGGCCAGAGCCAAAATTTTAATGCAGGTTTACTGTTTCCTTATTATTGTAATGATTACTAATTATTTGGGCAGCTAGGTGGTGCAATGAGTGGAACACCAGGCCTGGAGTCAGGCAGACTCATCTTCCTGATTTCAAATGTGGCCTCAGACACTAATTAGCTAGTGACCCTGGACAAGTCACTTAACCCTGTTCACCTCAGTTTCCTCATCTCTCACATGAGCTGGAAAAGGAAAAGGCAACCCATTCCAGTATCCTTGCCAAGAAAACTCCAAAGGGGTTCATAAAGAGTCAGGACAAACAACTCAATAACAGATCATAGGTAAGTCACTTGTACTCTCTTTGCCTCCATTTCAAAGTATTGCTCTACCCCTACGCTTCCCCCATAAAATCCCCTCCCTGAGGGCATGGACTTCCTGCTCCTATTTTCCATCTCTCAGGGTTTGAATAGAGGAGAGGCAGAATCATACAATGAAAAGAGCACCAGCCTGGAGTCAGATCCTGACTCTGACACTATGTGATCTTGGGCAAGACGTTTAATCTCTAGATCTTTAATCCTGTGATTTTGTGATGTTAGCTCTCTGTCCTTGGGTTCCTACATCTGTAAGATGAGGGGGTTGGACTAGCTTACCCCCACCTCTAACCCTATAATCCTATTATCATGTATGACTCTGTCCTCCTCAAATGAAATAGCATGTATGAAGTGCTTTGCAAACCCTATAAATGTCAGCTGCTGTTATCCTCATTATTATTATGATTATTATGATTATTATTATTATCCAATTCTTCTCATTTTTGTGCATGGAATTCAGGAAGAAATGGTCCTTAAACAAGTCACTATCCTGTTATTATCCTTTTACATTTAATAGTCTGTAGACATGCACAGAGGAGGAAAATAAAAGCTTTTTGTAATTAAAGGAAATTATTGGGATATAAGTTCATTTTTTTTTGGCTCACCAGAAGCATCCTTGAAAATTTCCAGTAGACGACTGGACAACAGGGTTGACATGTGGTGTAACCAGCTCCAACATGGTCCATGTAACTGGGAGATGTTGAGTATTTGGTGTAAAGTCTGTGAAAAAAAAATGTGGTTATTCCTTTCTTACGGATCCACATCATATTTGAGCAATAATGGGCAATGGTTTTTGTCTATGATCATGATTTGGTTTCAGTAGTTTATTTTCAAATCTCTGTAACCAAGGAATTTGTCAGCAGCTCGTTTATGAGAGTGAGCTTCTGTTTTATAATACAAGCTACCAATTCAAGTCAGGTTTTATTAAGTATTCAATAGGTGCTAAATATATTATATAGTTTCTACCATTTCTTACATCCTGTTGTTATTGTCATTTTAGTTGTATCCTGCTCTTCATGACCCCATTTGGAGTTTTCTTGGTAAAGATACTAGAGTGGTTTGTTCCTGCTCATTTTATAGATGAGGAAACTGGGGCCAACAGGGTAAAGTGACTTGCCCAGGGTCTCACAACTACTAGGTGTCTGAGGCCAGATTTGAACTCTGGAAAATGAGTCTTCTTGCCTCCAGACCCTGCGCTCTATGCACCATGGTGCCACCTAGATGTCCATTTCACTCATAATCAACATTAATTTAATCATTAAGTCCAGGTCCCATTGCTATAATTATTATTACTATTATTATACTTATCTTTTGGGTTGAGTGTTCCCCTGATGGTTATGGGGCAATGTCATTGTCACTGTATTATTACTATAACAATTATCTTTCCCCTTGTACTTTCACTGGCTATTAAGGACGTGGGGGGGGGGGGCACATACCTCTACTATCTCCTGAGACTATTGTACTGTTGTACTCCCCATCACAAATTCAAACAACACCTCTAGACAATTGGCATGAAAAAGACGGGTCCTTGTTTCCAAAAGAAGTTTGGACTCATCAAAGGAGTTTTGCAATTTCCTGAAGGCAATCCAGTCCACCATCCTCCTCCTGTTTAATTCTGGGTTTGACTTGTTTCATTTAATATATGATGACTGAACTAAATTGAATTCAAGGCTTTCTCCGATCTACTACCACCTTCTCTTTCTAGTCTCATTTCATCTTACTCCTGAGACATACTCTGCTCTATCTAATTAAGACTATTATTTCCCAAAAAACATGTGCCACCTTTTACCGCCTCCATATTTTTACTCATATCTCCTATATTTGGAATACCCCTCTCTACAACCTTCCATCACCACCTTTTGAAACTATATTCATCCTTCAAGATGTAAATTTCACCTCATCCAGGAAGCCTTCCTTGATTATCCACAACAGATGTGTACATGGGGGCACCTTATCTCCTGGCCTTGGGGACTCCTCTACTCCTGGCTTTTGACATTTAGTTGTCACTGATATTAAAAGTACTTTTTTAACAGGAAATCAAGGGCATAGCAGTGTCCAGCACCTCTGGACTCCAGTTAGCAGCTGCCAGCTCCCCTCTCTGGGATCAGGGCTCTATGCAGGAGAAGGCAGATCTGGATGTCAACCTAGTTTCAGAAAAGTCAAAAATAGCCCTGGCTTCTCCCCAAAGGTCAGACTTCAGATGCTCTTTGAAAAGGGCAGTTTAAGGACCAGTTTCCTGAGGATGGTGATTTCTAAGATCCTCATGTCCTTCCCTCTGGCTTGGAGCTAACTGTGAAAACGTATCATCCAGCTGAAAGGAGAGACCAGGGAGGCCTGGAGTTTCAAACAATAGAGACAAAGCTTTGAACTGTTTATTGAATCCTACATTCCCTCTGTGGACATCCTCTCACACAGACAGCCAAGGTACAAGAAGGCACTAGAATGTATTTAATTCATCTCGATGCTACCAGATGGCATTTCATCTAGCCCAGATATTTACCTTCATTTAGTCCAAGGATAGGGAACTTGAGGCCTTGAGGCCCCATGTGGCAGATTCCCCATCCCCAATTCCAGTCAATCAGTCTGAATTTGTTGAGAGCCTATTATGGCTAGGAGCTGGGGACACATGGACAAAGGATGAAACAAAATCCCTACTCACAATAGCTTTCATTCTAATAGGGAGGAAAGAAAAGAAACAAGCATTTGTAAGTACCTACTATGTGCCAGGCACAGTATTAAGTGCTTTACAAATATTATCTCACTTGAACCTCACTATAACCTCATGAGGTGGGTGCTATTATTATGCCCATTTTACAGTTGAAGTAAGTGAGGCAGATAGAGGCTAAATGACTTAGCCAGGGTCACACAGATAGCATGTGTCTAAGGTTGAATTTGAACGCAGGTCTACCTGACTCTGGGCCCAGCTTTCTAGCAACTGCCCCACCCTCTGCCTCAGCTTCCATGAAGATAACAAGGAAGTATATATAGAATCAACAAAAAAGGATTTATTTTGCAAGTGCCTAGCATTTGAGGGATTGGGACAGCCTCAAGGAAAGGTCTGTTGTAGGAGTGGCTTCCGAGCTGGACTTTGAAGGAAAATAGAGGCTATAAAAGGTAGCTGGGAGGAGGGAGTACATTCCAGGCATGGCGGGACATACTTGGCAAAGGCAGGAAGACGGGAGTTGGAATGAACCCTATAAGCAACAGCAAGGAACTCGGTTTGGCTGGACGATATAGTGCATCAAAAATAAGAATGAAAAATCAGCCTAGCAATGGAGAGGGGAAGTGGGCTATGCAGGGAGTTAAGTGCAACCAAGAGAGTTTATGTTTGATCCGAGGGAAAAGGAGGAGTTATCAAAGGTCCTTGAGCCAAGGAGTGACATGATTCCCCTCCCCAAGAGCCCACAGAACTGGGAGCTCTCTCCTCAGTTAGACCAAGGGCCGGAGCATCTTGTTAAAAGCACCAATTGAAAGCAGACTTGACGAGTCACACCCAGGAGCTGGTAGGTTTTATTGGACTCATGACCTGTTACTGCCTACAGTGTCTAGTGCAAAGGCCTCTCAGCTTGGAGACAGAAAACTTTGGGTGCCCCCATCACACCTACTGTGTGACCTTAGGCAAGTGTCCCACCCTCCCTACTATTTAATAAACCACCAATGAAATGAGAAAGTCCAAAGAGATGGTCTCTACTGACCACTGTAGCACCAATAATCTACCTCCCTAAGACACTTTCCACTCAGACGTTCTACATTTCATATTTCACAGAGCCCCTCCAAATCTAATAGTCTAGGTCCTTAAATCCTCATCAGCTTCAAAACTCTGTGTTCTAAAGCCCTGGCTACATGTAACATTCTATCCTCCCATACTCTTTTTGCCGCTGCCAACACTGACATCCCCTATTCTAAGACCCCTCTCAGCTCTAACATCTCCTGTTCTAAGGCCCCTCCCAGCCCTGACATCCCCTGTTCTCAGGTCCCTCACAGCTCTGACATTCCCTGTTCCAAGGTCTCTCCCAGTGCTAACATTTTATGCTTCAAATCAAGTTATGACCGAAAAAAAGAAACCAAGCCAAGGAAAGGAGAAGTTTCTGGTACTTCAATGAAGCATGTTGATAAAGAAGTTTTATTGTCAGCCCCACCCCACCCCGCCCTGGTCATACTTGAAGGCTCCTGGTCTCCTGAGCCCTAGACAGAGGTTGGGGGAAGGGAGGAGCGGCTGAAACGCTGGCTCCTGGGGTCACAGGCACATGACAAGGCCTGACAGAAATCACAAATGTTCAGACTCTCATTTGACACCTGAGGACAAGGTCCCAGGATGTAAAGCTGAACCTCGATGTCATCTCAGCCAAACCCCTCTTTTTGCAGAGTAGAATGGAAGCCCCTTGAGGGCAAGGGCTCTTTCTTTTTTGTCTTTGTGCTCCTAGCACAGTACCCGGCATATTTTCTTTCATCAGAGTGGACAGTTCCAAGTAAGGTAACTCCCTGTACCAGTTCAGATCAGCAGCTTCTCTGAAACATCTGTGCTAAGGGAGCTGCCTGGGGCACTGAGGTTAAGCAACAGGATTTACATAGAGATTTGGGTAGAGATTTAGAGCCCAAAGGGACCCTAGAGTCCAACTCACCATTTTAGATTCCAGGCACACTTTAAATGATTTGCCCAGAGTCAGTCAGTCAACAAACATTTAAGTACCCACTGTGTGCCAGGCACTATATGCATTAAGCTCTGGGGATACAATAAAGAGACAAAAACTGGGTCCCTGCCAACAAGGAGCACACAGTCTAATGGGGGAAAACTACATGCAAGCAACTAAGTGCACCTGCGGGTAGGCGGGGAAGGGTGCAATTTAAGATGAATAACACAGGTGTCTGAAGGAGAATTCAAACCCATCTTCTTAACTGAATCCAGCACCTCCCCAAAGCTCCACCTAGCAGTGACTCAACTCCCAGGCAGCGTGTGTCCAGGGATGGGACTCAGACCAGGGTCTTCTTAACTTAAAGGCTGGCTCTCTGTCTACTTTGTGACCACGCCTCTCATAGAATAGGTGCTTAATAAATGCTTAAAGAAGGTGAGGAAACTGAAGTCCAGGGAAGAAGATCTACAAGTGACTGAGTCAGGATCTAAAGAGAAGTATTAGGAAACATTCTGTATTGGTACCAGGAAGGTCCACATCTAAGTGAAAGCCTCTTGAGCAATGCACTAGGAGAGGAAGAGGGACCAGGATCAGATAAAGAGAAAGAGGGAAAAAGTGATTTAGAGTGGTGCCAATACCATCCCAGGGGTCATTTGAAGACAACAGTACCAGAGGTTATCAGTCCTTCCTTCAGTCTTGCCTAGGTTGCCTGAAGAAAATCCCTTAAGATCCCTTCATGGTCCTCCCTGCTTCTGGGACTCCCTGACAGTTTCTGAATGGAATTAGGGAAAGAAATGCTTGATGTTTTCAATGTCTCTATGCGCCACCCAGCCACTGACCTCTGCCCAGAGGGGTGGGAAGTTGTGGGGTGCCACAGAAGTGGGGGAAGAGACGAAGCAAAAGGGAACTCTTCTGACTGCTGGATCTCAAAAAGTTCCCATGCTGGCTTCCTTTCTCAATCCTACTGCCCGTGGGAGTGTGCTTACTCGAAGGGATTGACGTTGTCTAACCTGGAGAAAAGAAGATTTAGGACGCAAACAATTTTCACTGTCTCTAAGAATTTGAAAAGTTGTAACATTGGAGAAAGATTCGATTTGCCCAGTTTGCTCCTCCTCCTTCCCCCACAAGGCAGAATGAGAAGCAAAGGGTGGAAACTGAAAAGAGCATATTTAGACTTCACCCAGGATAAAACTTCCTTACTGCTGGAGCTGTCCAAAGTTGGAATGAGCTGCATTGGAAAGCAGTACATTCACGGGAGTAGATTCATCTCATGGGAGATCTTCCAGCAGAGGGTGGATGATCAGTCAACAAGCCTTTATTAAGGAGCCATCATTATGCCTCTGATCACATTAGCTTTGAGATCTGCATATTGTGCTGTTGATTCCCCTAGAACATACAGCCCATGAAAACACCATATCTTTTTTTTTCCTAATAGAAACTACTCTCTAGCCATGGCTTGCCCATCTTGTGTTTGTGAGATTTGGTGATGGTTGTTGCTGTTGTTGTTCTCATCCTTGTTGTTGTTCTAATCCAAGGGTAGAACTTTATACTTATTCAATTAACTTGATCCTTCCAAGATTCAATCCATCATTCTAATCTGTTGGGATCTTTTGTATCCTGACGACAATCTAATACTAGCCATTCCTATTGGTTTTAGCCTTCTAGACCTTAATCCAAGTCCTTGATTAAAATAAATAAATAACAGCACAGGACCAAGGACAGATCTCTGGTGTATTCCATTAATGACTTCTCTCCACTTTGAAACCAATCCATTAGCGGTTATTCTTTAGGTATGGGCATTTAAGTTTTGAATTTACCAGCTCTGCCATTGTGCAGACCACAATTCTCTCCTTAGTCTATGGGACAAAAAAATAAACAAAGGCTTTTCTGAAACCTAAGTGTACTTTTTGTATAGTTTTATTCTGATTTAGCGATACTTACTCAGTCAAAAGAGGTAATGGAGGAAACTTGGCAAAGACTTGGGGGGAAAAGGTCTCTGATACATTAGATCAGTCCCAAACAGAGGGACATGGGCAAGAATTACACAGAATGAGAAGGTGTCAGTGGCTTTAGGCTTGTGATTGGAGAGTGTTGGAATGTTTGTGATATCAAAAGTTCACTAAAGCATTGAAGAAGGAAATCTTATATTGTCTTCAAAAAATCAACTGTTTTTAGGGAATATGGAGCGGTAGTGGGAAAAGACAAAGATAAAAAAGAAAAGAAGGGAGAGAGGTAAGATGGGTGGGAGGGAAATAGAGAGGAAGGAAGGAAGGAAGGAAGGAAGGAAGGAAGGAAGGAAGGAAGGAAGGAAGGAAGGAAGGAAGGAAGGAAGGAAGGAAGGAAGGAAGGAAGAAGGGAGAGAGGATAATAAAGCTTTTTTAAAAGAAAGAAGAAAAGGTTCTGAAGAGTACAAAAACATTACAATATTTTTGTTTACTGTGGTGAAATTTAATAAACACTTCAAATGTATGTAACATAATTTCATGGTTCTATATTCAATCTTCTTTGAGTGATCCTAGTTTAAACAGCCCCTCCTCTCAAGTTTTGGATCCTGTCACTGTTCTTTTAACAGAGGAAAGAGAACTTTGGAAAGCACACAACTGCCACTGGATGAAAGCCTCTGAGCCATCTGGACAGTCAGCTACCATTGGAGAAAGACGTAAGGATTTTGACAGAATTTACAGACCCACACTTGGAAGATCACTTATGAGGAGAACTGAGAGAGGGTTTTGGGGAAGAGACTCTTCCCCAGACTGAAGCAGATCAACACCTAAATTGATACATTCATGAGAAAGGAGCAGAGACTAGGCTGGACCAGCAATTGAGAGCTGACAATTATAAAGATATCCTGTTAGCATCTTATTCATTCCCTTGATTTCCCAGAGCCCAGGAGAAGCTCTGATTGTGATCTCTATTAAAGCCAATACATGTTGAAATGTTTAATCTATGTTTCTTTATAATTAGACATTGTCAATAAACCTCAAGGGCAACTAGGTGGTTTAATGGATAGAGAACCAGTCCTAGAGTTAGGAGGACCTGAGTTCAAATGCAGTCTCAGACATTTACTAGCTGTGTGACCCTGGGCAAGTCACTTATCCCTGTTCACCTCAGTTTCCTCACCTGGAAAATGAGCTGGAGAAGGAAATGGCCAATGATTCCAGTATTTTTTACCAAGAAAACCCCAAATGGGATCACAGAGAGTCAGACACGACTGAACAAAAATAATAAATCTCATAGTAACAGTGATGTTTCATAATACCTCTAAATTAAGTTTTGAGACTGGGAGGTGGGAGATGAAAGACAGCTCATGGGAGAAGAAATTTCTCCAGGTTTTTATTTCTTTACAGGGAGGAGGAGACAACCTGATTAGAGAAATAAGCTTTTTAAGTTATTTCTGATATATTTAGAGAACCTGACCTTAGATTGCCTATCAAACCCAAAAGGTCAAAGAATGAATAATGTTAAATAATGTTATGTAATAATAAATACATGAACAATAAAACATATATAAATATAAACAATAAAGTAATAAATATTTATAATGTTAAAAAAAAAGTAGCAGTCTGAAGGATAGCATGCGTTTGTCCTCAAGAGTACCTAAAAGATATTGTTCACAATCTGTATAAAAAATCCACAACCTATGACTACACATATACCAATACGTTGGAATGTTTGTGTGCATTGATGATTGTTAAATTTATAATAAAAAAGGAAAAGGAAAAAAAAGTCAGCGAGTAGAGGATGGGAGAGACGTGACTAGAAAACAGTTCATGTGAAAAAGACCTGAGGGGGTTTAGAAATTGCAAGCTCAATATGAGTCAGCATCTGAGCTCGCAGCCAAAAATGCTAATGCGATCTTCCTACTTCCGCACTTCCTCAAAGATCCATGAATTCTTCGGTGTGGGTGCCAGAGGAGGATGGCCAGCAGTGTGAGGGGAAATGGAAACCGTGCCATACAGGGATCTGGAGAGACAACTGGGGATGTTCAGCCCGGAGAAGAGAATACTCGGGGGGGGGGGACCTGAGGGATGTCTTAAGGGGCTATAGAGACAAGGAGAGTTTAGGCATGTTGTGCTTGGCCCCAGATGACAGGGCTAAAAGGAATGAGTTAAAATTCTAGGAAAGTGTTTTTTTCCTTACTGAGGGAAAAACCTCCTAACAATTTTGTTCAGTTGTTTCCAACTCTTGGCCCACTTTGGGGTTTTCTCGGCAAAGGTATTGGAGTGGTTTGCCATTTCCTTCTCCAGGTGAGGAAACTGAGGCAAACAGGGTTAAGTGACTTGCCCAGGGTCACATAGCTAAATAAGTGTCTGAGACTGGATTTGAACTCAGGTCCTCCTGACTCCAGGGCCTGTACTTTATATACTGTGCCACCTAGCCACCCTAACAATTAGAAGTATCCAAACCTTAGGAAATAGTGAGTTCTCCATTACTAGAGGTGTTTGAATGATTGACTGCTTGCCAGGGATGGTATAGAAAAGATAGAGAATTTAGGTCAGTTAGTCATTTAACATTTATTACATGCCAACTTTGTGCCAGGCACTGTGCTAAGCTGTGGCTAGGAGTCATACTAGATGTCTTCTGAGACGCTGCTCAGATAAAATGAAGGGGCTTCGTTACGTGACCTCTAAGACCCTGTCTAGCTTTAAATTTATGCATGATAGTATGACTAGAATGCGGTCTTTTAGTGGCCACAATTTGGCCCCACTGACCAGATTCCATTCAGACTGATTGCCTGCTTCTCAGGCCATTCCTTTCTCACCAGGAAATCATGAGCAGCTTATCCATATCCAGCAATATGTGCTTTGCCCCACTTCCTTCTAATAAAGGACAATGTACTTCTATCCATGTTTCTAGTGTTGTCAGATCAATGAATCAACATGCATTTATTACAAGCCTACTATGTGCCAGGCATTATGCTACATGGTAGGGATACAGAGACAAAAGTAGCAAAGCCATTCCTCAGGGAGTGTCCATTCTCTCCAGGCAATGAATACATATAAGTATATATTAGGTGCTTAATAAATGTTTGCTCACTAAACTGGGAAAGGCATCCTATAGGAAGCAGAACATGAGCTGAGCCCTAAAGAGACCTAGGAAGTCTAAGAAGTAGAAATGAGAATGGAAAGCAAGCTAAGAAAGGGAGAGTGAATAAAATCTTGGAGGTGGGAGATGGACCATCATGTATTAAGACACGTTCGAGGTTGCAAGTCCATGGGGCCAAGCTTCAAACCCAGCTCTTCCAATTCTGGATTTGGTGTTCTTCTTCCCCCACTCCCCACCCAAGGCACTCTAGATTTCAGCCGAGCTCTGAACAGGCTCCCCAAAGGCTTCTCTGACCCTTCTGTCCAACATAGCACTCTTGGGACTTGGCAAGATGCATACTCAATGTCCTTAGAGAAGCAGTGGGTTGCAGTGTCTGGTGCCCCAGACTTTGAGAATACTGTGTCTGAAAGGAAGATCTGCTAATTTCCTCTAACCCCAAACCCTCATTTTCCAGAAGACACATATACTGGGTAAGGCAGAGTGACTTTCCCAAGGTAATATAGTGAGTAAGAGGCAGAGGCTGGATCAGAACCCAGGTCTCCGCTCTTTGACTCTTTCCCTTATGACTCAATCAACATTTAATCAGCACCTCTTCCATGCCAGGTGCTGCTCATTGAACACATAGCTTCTGCTCCTGACTCTGCTGTTTACTAGCTCCATGAACTCGGACCCATTATCTAGCATCTCTGAGCCTCTGTTTGCCCATCTGAAAAATGGGGAAAATGACAATTGAACTCTTTCTCTGCCACAGGATTTCCATGAGGCTCAAATGAAAAACTGCCTGTGAAAATTATTTTAGGACCTAAGGTACGTGTACGCATTCAAGCTTTTATCATGCTTCTAGTCTCCTTCATCACTGCATTGTTATTATTAGGAGCAGATTTCAAAGTTCAGAGTGAGAGCACTGAAACTAGTCATTCTTCTGAGTTGTAGGACTTTTTTTTAAAAGTGTGCCTTTTTTATTCCACTGAATGAGATTTAAATTTAGCATCCTCCTTTAAGGAGGAAACTCTGTCCACTTCCTCTTTACAAGCTATTTCTGACAATATCTCCTTTCTCAACAACTGGCCTGCCAAACACTGCATCCCAACCACACCCTGCCTACCTAGAAACACCCAAGACTTGTGGCATAGAAAGCAATCTCATTTCACTCTCCTCCTGAGTTCTTCAGAACTCAAAGTGAACTGCTCCCAGCCGAGTAGGTCCTGGCTTTGAGCATTTCGCTCTCACCCCCATTTCCAAGCATGCTATGATATCTTTCTGATACCTTCAACAACCTCCACTCTTTTCTCTTCTCACCGTTTTCCACATTTTTAAACCCAACAGGGACATGCTTTAGGGACTTCAAAAGTGTGGTCCCGGTCATAGGATCATGGGATTCAGAGTCAGAAGGGACCTTACCGGTCATCTTGTCCAACCCCCACATCTTAAAGAGGAAGAAAAAAAGCCTAGGGAGAGGAAGTCACTTGCCTAAGGTCATAAAGGTTGTGGAACTGAAGGAAAGAAACACCTCCTTATGTAGGTGTTTGTAAATTAAACACCTACCATGTACAGTTACTACACTAAGTTCTATACAAATATTTTTTCATTTGATCCTTACCCTGGGAAGTAGGTGCTATTACATTTCACAGTTGAGGAAAGTGAAACAGGCAAAAGTTAAGTGACTTGCCCAGGATCACACAGCTTTGTGTCTGAAGCTAAATTTGAACTCAGGTCTTTCTGACTCTAAGCTCAGAATTCAAGGTTGTAGGAAATCAAATATCTGGCCAAACTGCCAATGCAGTGCTGTGTCTACTTCTTAGGACTCCATTTTAGGAAAGGCATTGACAAGCCAGAGAGCCTCCAGAGGAAGGCAGAGCAAGATGGTGTAGCCCTTTGAGATCATGCCATGTGAAGAGCAGGTGAAGAGAAGGGGGATGCTTAGCCTAGAGAGGGCAAGACTCAGGTGGGGGCATGAAAGGACATCACTTGGCACAGGAAGCTTGTCATGTGTGCCTCCAGAAAACAGAACTACCAGTAATGGGTGAAAGTGGCAGAGAGGCAGGTTCAGACTTGATGTCAGGAACAACTCCCTCCTATTGGAGCTGTGCCCTCTCAGAGCAGAGTCATATGCAATTTGGAATCAGAGGACTTGGGTTCCAATTCCAGATCTTTGATTTCTTACAACCTAGAGTTCTGCCTCAGGGCAGCTATGTGGCACCACAGTGAATAGAGAGCTGGGCCTGGAGCCAGGAAGACTCATCTTCCTGAGTTCAAATCCTGCCTCAAACACTTACTAGCTGTGTGACCCTGGTAAGTCACTCAACTTTGTCTCAGTCTCCTTATCTGGAAAATGAGCTAGAGAAGGAAATGGCAAACCACTCCAGTATCTTTCCCAAGAGAACCCCCAAAAAGGGTCACAAAGAGTCATTAATAACTGAAAAACAACTAAACAAACCACCAGCTTCTAGCATAGTACTGATTGGTTCATTGACTTACTGGTTGATTGCAAAATTGATAGAAAGCCATGGTCCTGTGTAAGACCAATCAGTGTAGATGCCTGTCAAGAACACCAAGGCAAGAAGACCCCAGAAGTGGAGGGAAAGGAAGGGGGGAGACAGGAGCAGAGAAGCAGCCATAATTTTATAACTGATGTGGTTTTCATCAGAAGACATCCGTTCCCCAACGAAAGAAGATCATCTAAGCTATGAGCCAATGTTAGACATGCCCTGATAGTGGTGATCTGATTCTACCCATGAAACAGAGTGTGCATCTAAGAAAATGGTGACTATGAGGAATGTCTTAGGTTTGAATTCATCTTGAGGCAATCAGAAGAAACTGAGTCCATCAACGAGGACTGACTTCCACTAATGAGCCTTTGTCTCAGGCTAAGC